GTATTCTCTTAGTTCTTTCTTTCTTTTGTGTGCAATTAACAAATCATCAATCAGTTGTTCAGTGTAACCATTTATATTTGCAATTTGTTTTATTTTATTTTTTTTATAACGGAAAATACTATCGTCAAGAATTTGGATGCTGTATGGGCTCACCATTGAGTCCATTTTTGGCCAATTTGTTTTTGTCAAACTTTGAAACGGAGTTGAGGAAAGAGGGAAATTTTCCACGCATTTGGTATCGATATGTGGATGATGTTTATGCAATTATGAAAAAGCAAGGTTTGAGACAATTTCTGAACCGTTTAAATGGCACAAGATATACCTCGATCAAGTTTACGTATGAAGAAGAGCAAGAAGATAAACTGAATTTCCTTGATTTAACCATCAGTCGCAACGCAGGAAAGCTTGAATTTGATATTTTTCGCAAACCAACCACCACGGGTCGATACATTACATCGGATTCATTTCATTCTTTTCAACACAAAATTGCAAGTTTTCATTCGATGATATATAGAGCGCTCAACATTCCAATGAGTGAAGAAAATTTGACCAAAGAAATACAGCGAATAAAACAAATTGCAAATATAAATGGTTACACTGAACAACTGATTGATGATTTGTTAATTGCACACAAAAGAAAGAAAGAACTAAGAGAATACACCACATTGAACACCATAAGAGATGACAGTGAGAGTGGCATTGACCTTTGGTCAAGTATTTGTTACTATCCTGTATTAACACGAAATATCAGGAAGATTTTGAGCATCCATAACATCAAAATTAGCGAATATAGTGATAAAAAACTCAAACATTTGATCGGTGGTTCAAAGGATAAAATCGACGATAAACATCAGTCGGGAATATACTCAATCAAATGTGCAATCTGTGACGAAGAATACATAGGCCAATCACGTAGGAAAATTATCATACGATACGGTGAACACGATGCACACACGAAAAGATTGGAGGTCGACAAGTCAAGCGTGGCCAAACATATGAAAGAGAAAGATCATCAAACTAATGAAGCACAATTAAAATTGCTTAAAAATGTAAACAAATATTATGAATTAGATGCATTTGAGTCATATTTTATACATAAAAATCGAAATAATTTAATGAATGAAAATGATGGTCCAATCAAAAATTCAATTTTCAGTAAGATTAAAATTTAAAAAACATAGTAAACATTTCATTCTGGGTCATTTAAGAATTTGCAAATAGAAATTCAATTTCAGTAAGATTCAAATTTAAAACATAGCATACATTTCATTTTTGGTCATTTAAAATTTAATATGTTTGCAAATAGAAACCATATATCATTGCTTTTATTGTCATTTGGTTTTTGTAAATTGTGTCAGTTTGTTTCACATTCTCACTGATGAAGGAAGCATAGCTTCTGAAATGTACATTTGAGTTTTCTAATAAATTCAATAGTGTGTTGAAGTAAAAATTAAACAAATTATTTTGATTTATTTAAAACACACGAAAATCTCATTATTATTTTGCTGAATTTATATTTAAAGAGAGGAAAAAAAGAACTGTATAGAACTGTGCGCATGAAAAATGCAGATCGGACCTGTGCACATTCTGAACTCCGTGAAATAGCAACAACACATTTTAAACGCCGTTGTTGTTGACTGTGTGTGTGTGTGAATGTATTTAGTTTGTGAACAGAAAGTAGCAAGAAAATGCACGAGGAGGAAACAGACTATGCATCGTGCGCATCAGTTCAATCACATTATGGGTTATTCGCATAGCCACGATATGTAGATTCACATGGCCTGGCACTATTTCGACGCATCAATGATAATGATCCTGGGCTGACTGTTGTTCCTTCTCTCTGTCTCTGGCTATGTGCGTGCTGCATGTTTTATTTCTTTTCGTTTTATTTTTGTGTCTCTCGCGTTTATACGCGTCTTTTTTTTGTTGTTGTGCTTTGTTTCTCATAAAATTTCATACATTTTTTTCCCTTTCAACTTGAAATCTATATACATACACATTCACAACATTCAAGCAATTGGCACAGTCAAGCATTTGTGCCGGGTGCATGAATGCATGTTCTTTATCATATGGCGATCATTATCGTCATCAACGTGTTCTTTATCAAGTGCTTTTCTGCGCATTGTATTTTACCCAGTCTTAGTCGTCGTCGTTATTGTTTTGTTCCATCTTCATCTTCTTCTAAATGCTAAACAAGCATTGACTCCTCTCGACTCCTTTTGCATGCTCTTTTTTCAGTTTTTTTTTCATCTTTTTTTTAGTTAGGCGATATTGTACATTTAATAAATGTATTTTGAACAAAGAAGAGAGTGAGAGCGATGCTATCCCAAACATTAAGCCACAACAAAACGATGAACCGAACAACAACACAACAACAACAAAAATCAGCAATAAATAAGACGATAAAAAAGAACACCACACCAACAGCAGCAGCAGCAGCAGCACAAAAATACACATTCATTCCAGAATCCAAATATCGATGTGTGCGCGAAACAATATAAAAGCGAATGTCAAGAATGGCTTGATGAAAGCGAAACAGCGGCACACTAGTACGGCTGTTAGTAGCCTGTTTCGTCGAGTCTAAACACTATGCTCAAGAGAAAATTCTCACACGTTGTGTGCTGAGCAGAGAGAAAAAAAACTGTTGTATAGTTGCAAAAACAGAAGAAGACGACAGCAACGACAACGACTGAAAAACAACCGAATCACATACAAAACGTAAATAATATACGAATATGGACAATAACAAATAATGCGGCTGAAGAAACGATTGATTTTTTTTTCGTGTTTGTAAAAAAAGTTTTTTTTTTAGACAATTAAAGAATTAGAGTGATCGAATGAATAAAGCGACCAATGAAATATAGGAAGAAAGGCGAGTTGAAATAGCAAGAGCAACATTTTTCGTACAATTAAATAGATTCGCGTATAAAAAATAACGAAGCTAGGTCGCCAGTGTATCGGGAGATGCACAGACTAGCGCATTGAAATCAACGCATTTTAGTTCGATCGTATGCACGACATGAGAGTGACAAAGAGAAAAATGGCGCGCACACATTCGCTGAAATGAATGCGGGCAGCCTTGTTGGTGGCTTTGGTTGTCTCCGCTGCCTTTTACTTCTTTTTTTACTATATTTAGTCCCTTTTCCAATTCATATTCGCAAAATAGGTATTCAACAGCATATTTTATTTCTGATTTCTTGAATACTTCGTGCTAGTGATTTGTTTCATTAGCTGTTCACTTTTCCTGTTTCACATATGTGATTTGGGATAAATTCTCGCGTGGCGTGGTGTTATGAGTTTTCCTTTCGTATGTAATGCACGCAATGTCAACCGCAAAATGCAATGAATACAACAAAAAAAAAATCTTTGCTATACCGAACCAAATTTAATGTTCACATATATTTCGATCGGTCTCGACAGGTAAACCAGATCAATATTGAAATTGGCGCAACAGTCGAATCATATTTTGTTCATTCAGTTTATTCGGTCGCCATGGGCATATCGCATATAAACACATTTATTCATACCAACGCCATAGCTGCCGCTGCACACATGATTATAATGTGCTCTTCATGAAGGTTCGTTGAACGAAAGATTTCTGTTTATTGCATCTTTCGTGGTGTGTATGTGTCTGTGATTCTTTGTATGAATACAAATAATGCACGTATACATGCTTGAGACAATGACCTTGCAACGATCATTCACCATCATGCCATTTTGTATATTATGTTGCTTTATTTCGCGTACGCTTTCGCTCTCTTTCACACTGTTCGCTGTCGTCTCTGTCAGTTGTTCAAAGGCTGGTAGGCATAAGTTCGCTTTGCGGCAGTTGTTTTCTTTTTTATTGCGAAGAATCTAAACCGCACATCGTTAGGGCTATTCTTTTATACTGGATTCCTTTTTCGCCCGTTTCTCATTCTCTCAAAACATTCAACGACATATAGAATAATAATTCAGACAATACTACAAAAGCAACAACAATAGAATGGCGAAAAACCGCGCAAACGTTAAGCTAGTTGCATGCTGAACACTGCACGAGAATATAAGAGAATGAAAGAGATACAGATAGAGCAAGAGAGTGTGTGTGTGAGAGAGAGAGGATGGCAGCGCGATAACACAGGTTAAAAGAGAATATACAAGGAGAGAAGCATGAGTGGATGTTGCCCAACCAAGAATAAATTTTTATCAAATTGCGCCAGTTTTTCATTGTTTTTGTTGTGGTGGTGGTTTAAACAAAGGCTCTTCAGATTGGGTAGCATTTCGAATATACACAAAATACGAGCGAAAAAAAAAAACTTCATCAACATTAACAAACTCTACACACAACGGCGAATATATAATTATAAAATGTGTAAGTGAAGGGCCATACATATAAACACACTTATATATAATATGCATCTTTGTGCCTGCTTGGTCCGCTCGCTTTTGGTGTCTTCTTTTCAATTCTCAACTACGGAATTTTTGTTTTTCATTTAATTCTTGGCAATTTTCGCAATACACAAAGAAATGAAACGAGTTAGCCGCATGCCTGTGATAGTTTTTTTTATATTCCTCTCTGTTCGGTTGTGTGTTTTGTTTTCTTTTTTTTTTGCATATAAAAATAAAATATAGTATATCAAAGTATATCCACACACTAGTTGCAATTGCAATGTTGAACAAATAACAAATTCGAATGGATATTTAACGACTGAATGCAACAATTTCTTGAAAATACTTGGTGCAAATAACAAAAACAGCCTATAGGCTATAACATCGATGAAATCATTGATCGAAATGGTCATTGTCATCGTTTTGTTCTTTAAATAATATACGAAATGCATGTGTTTGTATGTGTGTTTTTTTCTCTGATCGATTGACGGTCGCACGCATGCAATGAGTTTAATAAGTTTGAGAAGAACAAGAAGGAAAAAAACCTAACCGACAAAAAAATGCAATGGCTGAAAGAAAAGAGCACAAAAAGTGCAGTGTACAAAATAAAACTAACAAAGCGATTTAATTACCTTGTCGTCCGACAATTTCAGCGACATGCTCTGAACTTGGCACCGGCACACATTCGGTCATATTTTGTGATTTCTTCGATCGATCATCCAAATTTGGTAACATCGTTGTGAACGCACTTAATCCAATATTATTTGATAAAACACTATTTATTCCATTCATGCCGCCGACATCATTGGGACTGAGCGATGATGAGGGTGATTTGTTATTGCTGAAAGCGATGATACAGACCGTGAAAAATAACAACAAAAATTGAGAAATTCATTTTTTTTATGGTTTAGTTCTCTTTTTTTTATTTGTTAAAGAGAGAAAAGCAAAAAAAAACCTAAAAGTTGTGCAAAAATTTACCTGCACGATTTGTGTTGCTGTTGATGATCGTTTCCCATATTCACAATCATTTCATTGGCAACATTGTTGTTGCACGACGATAAGGACAGCATCGATAATTCAAAGGCGAGTTGCAATGCTGCGGCTGATGATGATGAAGTTGGTGATGGCAGTTGTTGTGGCTGTGTCGCTTGTGGCGGTTTTTGATTTTTTTGACCGCAAACGCTCAATGGATTTGGTCCATTCGTGGGATCCATTTCCGCAAATAACACCGACATTTTTGCTGTGGCTTTTTTTATTATAGTCTGGTTCTTTTTACACTATTTTTGTTGTTGTTTTTTTTTATTAATTGTTTGGGGCTTCTTCTTTTCTTTCTCGTATTATCAAATTGTTTGGAAAACAAACTTTCTTTTTATCAAATTTATCGCTTTATTTTGGTAATATTTGTATTGTGGGGAACGCGAAAAAACACTTTTCTCGATTCTTTTATCTACAATAAATTTTAGTCTATATCCCGTTTGAACTGGCACAAATTGATAACTTTATTTTTCGCGAGTAACTTTTTATTTATCGTCAGTTTGTTTTATTATTAAATGGAGAAAAGAAAATGTGAATCGATTCGGTTTGTTTCTTTTTTTATATAATTAAATGTGATGTATCTTTAACTTCGGTTTTGTGTTTGGCACCTTAATGATTTGTGAGTATGATGACGTTAATTTTTTATTATACCGATAATTTTTCTCTCTCTTTTTTTTTGTACAAAAAACGAAATAAAAATATTCTTTTCTTATTGTTCGACTTGTTTTGTTGTTTTTTTTTTTTAAATATTTAAGAATAAAACTGTACGCTGGACTTATAATAAATGTAAAAAAAATTTCAATTAAGAACTAACACCAAAAATTAAGGAAATTTGCTTCAGTCGTATTGCTCTGAAAAAAGAAAAAGATAAAGAAAATCGATGTAAACAAATGTAGAGAATTATTTGTAGCTTGAAATAGTATTTGACGAACATCAAAAGGTAATGAGATATTTTTTAGTCACTGTCTTTCGATAACAATACATTGATATAGTATATTGAATAAGTGAACCAGTGATTGAAAATTTATTCGATACAAAGATTTGATTTTCCGTGACATAATCCCCTTCATCTGTTAAACTAATAGCCAGAATTGTAAGTGGAATGAAAACATCATTAAAATTGGATGTGTCTATTTCTCCAAACATTTTGATGCTTCGATCACTTCCTCAGTGGGTGAATGAACTATGAGCGCGCGCAGTTGCTGTGGCAACGCAATTGGAATAAATATATAGAATTTTGACGGGGTCTGTTGTGTTTGGTGGTTGTTTTCCTGCATCGATACTCAATTGCTCGAAATCAATAGTCCATGCTTCATGGATTCATTTTCAAACAAATCGACCAGGGTCTAAGAGGGTTAAATTTTCAATTCACGATCGATTTGTCGAAAAACAAAATACAATTTCATTTTCATTAAATAATAAATCCATTTACTTTTTGATTTTCTTATGTGTTATATACCACAATCCTTTATAATGATAATTGTGATTGGTGTTTCTTGATCGCCAGACTGCAATTTAACTAGGTACTCACCTTGGTTTTGTCGTTTCGTGCTGCTTGTAGTTTTTCTTACTTTTTCTCGTATCGTTTTATTGTTTTTTACGTGTGGTTTAGTGTTGTTTACTTTTCGAATCTTACATTTTTACCTCCACTGGAGGCATCAATGTGATTTATGTTGAATATGATATAATTTTTGTTGTTAATGATTTCTTTTTCGCGTACGTTTCGATTTAGTTTAGTTCTGTTTTTTTTTTTTTGTTATTTCGTCGAGCGTGTGGTATTTCTTTGAGATTTTGTTTTTATTCGCTTGAGTCACAGTTGCTGGCTTAGTTTGGCCTATGTATGTGCGCGCGCATGTCAATTGTGAATGTATGTAACATGGATTATTTGCCTGTTTCGTTTTAGTACAGTTGATTATTCGTAATTTATGTTGCTGATTGTTGTCTTTTGAAATATTTAAAACGGTTCTTTTTGTTTTTCAACCAAAATTGTTGCTTTTTGTTTTTATGCTTTTTATATTATTCGATAAATGTCCTTCTGTTTGTTTCTTTCTTTTTTATTGAATTTTTCTTTTCTTTCGTCGTATGATTCGAATCACAAAACACGCACGGTACACAACAACAACAACAATATATGAAAAACAATTATGAATGATATACACACAGTAGAAAACAACGTTACCACTTAACACTACGGTCGATTGTATTAACTATAATTTTTGAAAAAGAAAAAGAGAGAAAGAGAGAGAGAGAGATAGAGTGGAAAGAGAATGAAATAAAGGTAAAATAAATATTGTTTCAAAAATATGGGGTAAATACTAGCAGTCAAAAAAAAAATGATATGTTATTCAATGGATTGCAATTAAATTGATGTAATTGAGCGGGGAAAAAAATTCAAATTGTTTGGCGAGTATATTTGTTTTTGTGTGCTGGGGAGACGCGATAATGCTTTACAAAAACAAGGTGGAGGATTGAACCCATAGTAACCATGATCAATTTTCACGCGAATTATGTGTATTTCATATGAAAATTTCGTAACGTAAAATTGCAGTGGCAGCGGCGTTGCAGAGGTTTCTGTCTCACGCGATGTATCCAAGAAGGAAGAATATAAAGGGGAATTAAAGTGAATGCAAACGTAAAAAGGAACCGGTATATATATATATGATATATATTTTCGACGACGCAAATGCATAGCTACTACTGACTTTCTGATGGTAACACAGCCAATCAAACTGTAATATCCTTTTTAAATATATATGCGTACACATCTAAGCATATAGTATTCATTCTATGACAGTATTTGACGTTCTAGTGTGGCAAACACATATAGATATTTTTCTATATATTCCATATTGCATATGATATTTGGCGTTCATTCTCTGGCTAAAATACACAATTGCACATAGGCCGATAGATAGATATAGTGAAAAGAGGCGCGCTTCAAAGGCCAATCAACCCGATTATGTGTGTGAGTGTGTTGTATATGGCATTTGTGTGGAAAAGGTTGCTGAACGCAAACGAAAAACGAACGCTACACACAGCGATAAATGGGTGGAAAATTCTCTCTTCATATACCGAAAGAATCGATTCCGCATTTTCATACCGAAATACGGCTATACGGTTCGTCACACTGAAAATCACATGCTATTCAGTTGTTCGGTTGGCGATTTTCACCCTTAAAACACTTATTCTTTTTTGTTCTTTCGGCTCTGTTGCGAATTTCTTTTTATTTTTTGTTTGGTTATGTTTCGAAAATTGCGTGAGATTGTGCTTAACCGAATCTGATAAAAAAACGAGAACAACTATTGTATGAGCATGCAGTCGGTTAAGATCCATCTAAATGCATTCGGATGATTAGTTTTTAATCGAAAGAAAAATTCACAAAAATATACATTAATGCGTTCGAATTTGTTTTGAAAACGAATGATGATGCAATCGAATTCGGTGTACAATAATGTCATTCAATATACGATGAGATAAAATGATATGTATATCAATGTAACCGCTGTCAGGTTTGGGAAAAATCACGAACAAATGCCGACAAACAAAACTATTCGCATCGAATTATAACAAGAACATAATATTTACACCAATACACAAATGATTTTAAAATTGACGAACAACATGAAAAATGCCTTGCATTCAACACACTTTTTGAACTGTAAATTTTTTTTTGTTTAACAGACCGCGTATTGATCAATGCAACGGTAATTCACTCCAAAATAAAAACTTGACAATAAATTATTTGGAACTTTTTGATTTAATTCGTGATCTTATTTTTTTTATTTACAATTTTTGCAAACGATTTGTCAAAATCAAATTTTATTGACCGATTCAATGAAATTTCTAATCATGTGCATGCAAAATTTGATGTGTGTAAAAATGTACCAAAATTGTTAAAAACTTTTATTCAAACCCCAGCAAACAATTTGAAATTTTGCCACCCCGTTTAATAAAATTAAGGAGGAACAAAATAGAAAATTCTTTGAAAATTAATCAACACGAAATTGAATTGAATACTAACAAATAAATGAATATCATTGAAATGAACGTCTACCGTTTTCGTCGTGGGTATGCATTCAGTGCGATGGTTGTCTTAAGACTGAAAATGCAAACTGTTTTATGTAAAAAGCCGAACCATTCGGCACTCACCACCAGAAAACTGAGGAGCGCGCATATACAATCACAAACACTTGGATTACTCGGCACAACCGTGTATCATTGTGCACATACACATTGCTATATATACAATGGAATATGCTCATTCGTGCTGCTTGATTGTATGTTGTTGCCGAGTGACACATATACATTGATATGAGAGAGAGGCATCGAGCAGGATTGGAAGAAAGCAACAGCAACAATAGCAGCAACGGCAGCAGCGGCACCATCGGCTGTGTGTTGTCTGATACTTTTCGGTCGCATACAACATCTGTGAATGTTGTTTGTAAGGTACAAAGCGACATGAATTCATATACAGCCGTAAACATACCAATACAAAATGTGCAAATACTATTACAATAACTATAGCACACGGGCGGCTGTATAAAAATTTCAATCGGACTTTTTCTGCATCGGCAAAAGGATAGCGGGAGAGAGTGAGAGGAAAAAAGTGAGATTTCAAATACAAACGCACCAAATTCGATGCCAAATACACTGGCAATAAACGGTATATTCATGCACTCATGATCATATCGTAGTTTTTGCGCATACATAGCATGGTATCACAAAACAAACCAATGTGAATACAATGTGTGATGATGGGGAGCATTGGGATACATTTGAACACGAGAAAATTCATCAAAATTGGTATTTTGCTCTAATTTATTTAATCAAACCATAGTTCCAAAAGCCCCAACGATTAGTACGTATAAAAAAAATGTCTTTTTTGTTTGAATTTTTATTTTTCGCTCGCTCTTTACATTCGCATACAACCCGCACTCACCATACCAAAATGTCGATTATATTTCAACAACATATATACACAGCAGAACAAGCATGGCATTATGAAAAAGTGTATGCGATTTAGATTCGAATGTATGTTGTACATGTATATTTATATTGAATGCGATTCCTTACTATGCAAACGTTTTATGTTGATTATTACTCGCCAGACGGTGAGCAAAGAGCACAGGACAATACGAACGACAGAGAGGCAAATACATTCACTCGGCCTATTCGGGCGACTATACGTTTCATAGTATTAGCACCAACAAAAAAAAAAACAACAACAACATCGAACACACTGTGTCATCAAATCGAAATGTGAGACCAATGGAAACAGAGTAAAAAAGAATATTAAAAAAATTGCAACAATTTGCGATGTAGTCAGAGTAAAAACAAGAGTGAGAAAAGACACAATTTATAATGTACCGTATGAGCAGATGATAAGGTGGACATAAAACATTAATTTTGTCCAGCGCGCAAAAGAGTATATATGCATGATATCGTTCTCTAGACCAAAGAAAGCATGTTTTTGTCGTCAATGTGATAAATTAGAAGCATGCCGGTATTTCGACAATACAAAAAAAAAGTCTTTGAACTTAGCGGGAAGTTGCGTCTACTGTACTAGTGACAGTAGGACAGCAGCAATAGACGAACCGAAAAATGTGCTCAACCACACGTTGTACGCACACTTACATCATGACTGCTGCTTCTGTTTTTTCTTTTGCATAATTTTTTCGCTAGGATAAACTTAATCGACGTGTAATTCAATTTTTATCGTTCATAATGAGTGGCCAATATTGTTAATTTTGATGCGAATAACATTAGAACGTTCCGGTAACACAGTTAATTATCGAAATTCAATTATCAATTACATAATGAGCATTTAATGCGGCGTTCGCAATGAATTATATTTTTTCTCTCTCTCTTTTTTTCGCTCAAAGTCTTTCTGTCACTTCACTCGTCTAAATTGCGGCTCCCTTACTCGTTTACTTTCTTAATCAATCTCATTTCCTCTCTTTCGCTCTCTCGTCGAGTCTCTCATTCGAATTTGATGATTTTGCATGAATTCGCTCAAGTCAATTTTTCTTCTTTTCAAAGTCATGGATTTGATGCATGTCTGCGAAATATTCTCCACTGTCTCGCCAATGTCGCTACGCGACTTTCGGCTCACCATTGGATTGATTTAGTATATTTTGTCTGCCTCTTTCTCCGTTTCTCTCGTGAGAATAATATATTATATCGGTTGGGGCCTACATTTGATCAAACTTTCAAGGTGGCAACAAATAACGACCGGCGTTGGTAACAAAACAAAAATATGCGCGCCAACAAATAGCAACAAAGACATCAACACCAACAAACGATGCGATATACTATCTCATGTTGTACGCATTGATGTTTTCATGCATAATGCGTGTCTGTTGTCTTTAATCGATGATTTTGTTGTTATTTCTTGACTCATGCATTTAATGTTGAATTTATTTCTTTTTTTCAAAAACTATTATCAATATTTTATATAATGAGCTTTGAGTTTGTTTAGATGGGTGATTCTTACCTCTGCCTATTTCCTTTTCTGAGACTAATCAAAATGTGTTAGGTTCATATTTTATTTTTAATTTAATGCAAAAAAAAAATATTAATAATAAAAAATATCAACAGCAGTATTGATGAATGTATTTCCGATCAATTTTCGCTCCCTTTTCGAATTGTCTTCGATATTTTCATCTTTTTTTGAAATATCCATTGCTTTCATCTTTCTTACATCAGCCATATTTTTCTGTTCGTATACGCGGCTGGAAATATTGTCGAATCTCTATATAGCAGGACGACTATACAGCCAATATATGTATATTTTCATGTATGCGTGAATTTAGCATTCGCCCCAAGGCATATGAATCTTTTGGTTTAGGTTATTGAATAAAAAAAAATTACCTAAAAATCCATTGCTTAAAAAGTTCTCAAATGAAGTCACTGGCTGAAGAAAAAAATACACCAAGGAGGAACTAGCATATTAGGAAGCACTAGAAGCGTAAAATAGTTTTTTTCTGTTAAAAAAAACGAGAATAATTTTCAACTGAAATCAATTTAAGTGACATAGTATTTCGTTGAACCAATGTAAACTTAATTTATCGTTCAAGGGATGTTGTACGGATAGAAGAAAAAAAATTAAACATAAAAACACACCCAACATACGTTGTGTTCAAATTATTCAAGGCTTCATACGAAGGTGAAGAGAAAGGAAGACCAATATATGCAAAAGACATACTCAATTGAAGACATTATGCTCAGAAAGGGGCATCATGACGCAATGTACGTTCTGGAAGAATCAAGAAACATGCACTGTGAAACATGAAACTCGCCGTTTTACACTATACATGGATCGCTTATCTTATTTCCTTTAGGTTGAAAACACGATTTCATTAATGATGATTTTCATTATTGACTATTAATATTTTTTTTTTCTTTAAATAATTTATTCAAGATTCGGGATTCGTGGATGGTTTGAAAAAGAAGATTTGAATTATTATTAACAATTATCAAGTGATTTTGATGTAAACAATTTGCATCCAACGTTATAGAGTGCCCACAATTTTTAGAGACAAAAATCCCCAAATTCTCAATAAATTGATGCTGAGCTTTGATGTTGAATAGTTGCACATCTGAATTTTGACGGATGAACAACCAAACGAAACTCTGAATTTTGATGGGATGTTCAGATTTTTGGGGAGACCGAGTCACAATAACCTCATAGGTAGCTCATTATCTCTTTTATAAATGTATCAATTGATTTATAAACAAATTTGCTTTGGATAATATATAAAATTCCATAAAATTCTAGATGATGCGGTTATGATGAAGAGTGCGCTCATATTTTCAATGCTCAAAATAGCCACTTAGTCAAAACAAGCGAGTCAGTAGAACAGTTATAAATTTACAATGGTCAAGTGTTTGTTGAGTTTTATTTAGTTGAATTTGTCATAAATTCAAATCGTATACACGTTTCGTTTTTTTATATATTGATTGCTCTTGCATTCCGGGCAGCAATTAATGTTCAACGTTCTTTTTTTGCTATCAACCTAAGGTAATTGAATGTGGTGTGAAGGTGCGGGATAGATAAAAAAATGTCTACAATTCTTGTTTTTAAAAGGATTAAGAAAAATAGGATAATAAAAATACGTTCTTTGTGTTTACATTGGAATTCCGGTTTTTTTAGTTGTTCGAATGCGAACTATTTTTAGAAATTGAAAAGTAGTGTTTGACTCGATTTAATCTCTTTAAGAGAAATCAATGTGTCTTTAAACAAAGGGCGTCAAAATGATTTTGGAGCTGGTGAGTTCCCGGTAGACCATACCATAGACATATAGACAGACAGACAGCGAATATATCAAGAAATGGATTAAACTGCAGCAAAAATTGCATGTGAAATGTTTTTTTCTTTCTGTTCGTTGTTGCGACTGTGTGCATTTGTATGTTGTATACATTTACAAGTGTGAATTGTAGCGTACACAAATTGCCGAACGCCAGCCAGAGAGATAGTGTGTGGTTGTACTGAAATCATGCGTGTAGCCGGCTAGCATGAAATCGATCTGGATTCATGGGAATTTGTTTGGCAAAATGCGCTTGTGACATTAACAACAACCACAATAGAGCCTCCGAATTGCCGGCGATGCATTTCCCGTTCAAGTTAAATAAAATTTCAATTAAATTTTTTGGCCGTGATTTTTTTTTTTGTTGTTGCCATTTTTTTGATTTTCAATTTATATTTATACCGATATTGGTGAATTCCGTCAATTGAATTTAGTTGTGTTGAACTTTTGGCTTGTACCAAGCGAACAGACATGAAAAAAATAAAAACAATTTCAATTCGAATATACAACATTGCAATTTTGTTGTTGTTCTTTTTTGTTCAGCATGGCATTTGCAGTATATGTACTACGTTATACGCATTTTCATTGAAATGCATTCGCTCTCAGTCTTTATATACAATATTGTGCGCTTAGGTAGTGAATCGAGGAGTGCATACACAGCCGCACTGAGAATATATCCTATGATTGTGTGTTGGAATCTTTTGCATCTGTCGTTAAGACACATTCGGTTCTGTGTCTGTTGTTTTTTTTTTTCTCAATCTGTATTTTCGGGATAAATGGCTATAGTTTGTACAGCGAGGCCTTTTCATACGATTCAATAATTTTG